CAGCTCGACAATAGACAGACTCAGAGGCAGTTGTACAAAAGGTAAGTGTTTTTTATTTACAGACTGTTTGCTTGGATCCAAATCTGGAAGGGAAGAGGTCCTTGGTGAGTATTTAATCAGGTAAGATGAAGGTGAGTATTGTGGTGGAGAAAAAGATCTGTTCTTCTTGATATCAGGTGGAGGCTCGGCACTGAGGGAGAGGTCCAGGATTTTCAGGTGGGTATTCACAGGTTTGTCCAAGGCAGGTGAGTTCATTCCAAGACTCCACTGTGGCTGAGTGGTTAGGGGAGTCGTCCTGGAACCAGAAGGTCACTGGTTCGATCCCCCGTCCAGCCGTTGTGTCCTTGGGCAAGACACTTCACCCACCTTGCCTACTGATGGTGGTCAGAGGGTCCGATGGCGCCGATACATGGCAGCCCCACCTCTGTCAGTGTGCCCCAGGGCAGCTGTGGCTACAGTGTAGTTTGCCATCATCAGTGTGTGAATGTGAATGGGTGAATGTCTGTTAGTGTAAAGCGCTTTGGGGTCCGGAGGGACTTGAAAAGTGCTCTATAAGTTCAGTACCATTTACCATAAATATATATATATACGTAGCCTTTTTTATCTTTGCAACCATTGTTTTATTTAATTATAAAAAAGATTCTTGTTTTATTTAGAAAAGAAAAAGAAAAGAAAAAGGAATCATATACGGATTCAATCTGTGATTGTAGTTTAAATAACAAGTAGCTAATAGTACGTGAGTCACATGCTGCGTTGCACTGAGAAATACACCAGCTTCAACACAATGATTGTGTGTAGCTGCCTGTTATAAAATTACATTTCAGTTGAAGATGTTCTTACTCTTACTCTTACATGTGACTCTTACCTGTGCAACAACCTGCTACACAAACTGTGTAATACATGATATGTGCAATACACATATTCTAGAATACATGTACATGTATATCATAACTACTACTGTCATTGGTGAAGTACCATATGTACTGTATATACAGTATGATGTGCACCCTGCCTGCACTGTTCTGTTATTTCTGTTACCCAAATTTTGTTTTCTTTGCTATTTTTTTTATTATTTGCTGTTCGACATTTTGACTTTACACTGTAAATTTTTGTTTCTTTGTGAATCTACTGCAAACTGTGAATTCTGTATTGTCTTTTTTTAATTTTTATTCTTTATAGCGAGTCGAAGGGTTTCTTCTCATCCTAAGAATTTCATTGCATTGTTGACTCTTGTTAACATGCATATGACAAAAAATGAATCCTGAATCTTGGCAGGCTTGTGTACTTAGCTGTAAATTAGCGACAATGAGTGTCCACCTTTACTGAACTTGCTAATACTAGGATAAATCTGTGGTTATCAGAGCAAGAACAGGAAACAAGAAGTTCCTGGGTTTATGCCTCTGCGCAGCTCATTAAGGTTTCATCTGTGGCTGAAGGAGGAACTCGTTTATAGGAGCTCGGATGCTTTACCAATCTGTGAAGTCACTTAAGGAGACTTTTAACAAGCCGTCGTCCATTGTCACAGGGTAGGAACACACCCTGCTACTGCCATCGCGCCTTGTTAGCCTGAGCAACTCCAGTCTCATTAAGCATCCCTGCCATGCCCGTCTCATTGCCATGACAACCACAGACACCCTGCATCATCACCATCACTATGGAGATCAACAAAGGCAAACAAAGCCACTCGATGAGACTTCAGGGGGATTGGAGGCGATGAGGACGGAAGGGTTTTGGATGAGGGGGAGGAAGAGTGGCGCTGAGGAGCAGGAACAAAGGTTGAGGGGAGGCAGGAGAAGAAGAGAAAGATGAGAATGGAGGGATGGGGGGGTCCCACAGGTGTTTGTGAGAAAGAGGAGGAGGAGAAGGGTACTTTTTTATGATGCTTTCTATTTATAATCCTGCAGTCAAGTATATTTCCAACAGAAAGTAACTTTATAGCATTCCATGTATTTCTGCTGCTGTGACGACTCCCCCCAAGCCCCCTGCCTTTTTCATACTTAAAGTTTACACTTGTTTGAAACTCTTGCTCTCTAAAAGTACTTGCACATACCTGATGTATATAAAAACTATAATTAGACAAGTGTGTGTAAACTATCTTAAATAATCACAATATGAGTTTTTAACAGTTTAAGTGAACTCTTAACTCGTTGCCCCTCCTCTCTCATTAGTGCACACACCCCTCAAACAGTGCGAAGCAGTGAATTCTTCCTTCCTTTTTAATCCCCCCCCCCTCCTCCTCGTCTGCACTTTCCCTCCATTTGTTTCCATGGCAATGCCTTCTGCAATGCACCAAGAGCCCGGCCGGCATATTCGCTCACAAGCTTTTCCTCTCACTCTGGATCTTCCTTTGCTTTACATTGTCCTCTTCTAAAAGTCTTAATCCTTCATTGCCTTCTTTTCTCTCTCTTACTTTCCCTCAGTGTTTACCATTTTTTTCTTTCTTTCCTTCTTTATTATTATTATTATTTTTTGCGTGGCTCTTTCTTTAACACTTCTGTTTCCGGTCTGCTCTTCTCAACACTTAAAACAGTTTCTTTTTCCTCTTTCGCCGTTTCTTTGCGTTGGCTCTCGTCCAGATTTGTCGCGCAACTCTAATCTATTTACCACTCACTTATCAGTCAAAATAAATGATTCAGAGCATTATCTCCTGCCCTGTTGGTGAACTGGCTCTGTTAGTCCGTATAAATATCAAACACACACAGCCACACATCCTGGTAGAAGTGATTAGAAGTTGATCTGATTTGCGGCTCTAAAAATTGCATTACACTCTCTGCTAAAAGAGGGTCTTTCTGGGTCTTTGTGTGCCACCGAGCCGTTAAAGTGTATTCTGGTGGCTTCACAATGATCCCTTGCTCTTGTAAACACACTTATGAGTCAATGTGCAGCGAGTGTTTGCATGCTTGAAACTTTCTTTTTTGTGTGGGTAAATGAAACGGAAGGGGGGGGAATGGTGCAAGTTACCAGTTTGATAATCATGATAAGGAAAGCTTTGAGGAAAAATATGAGACAGGGAAATAATTACAACTCTCAGTGGTGACAATTAAAAGCAGAGAGGGAATAAAGACAGGTGAGATTAGTGAAAACGCCAGCAATGCAGAAAAATCTGTGTGTGTGAGTTTGAGTTCACTGAGCAGATCATTAAAGCCGCTCTGACATTTGGAGAGAACACTGATGAAGCCCCTCTCATTATATGCTGTAATATAGAATGCTGTTTTTAGACTCCCTGGCTGCGCCGACGTGCCTATTGGATACACCGGTGACGGCAACGGCCCGCCATGCATAGCAACAGTAACCAAGGACGGGTGTTGGAGATGAAAGGTCTGTTGGGGTATCTTTAACACCAGACTGCTGCTAAATCTGGAACCACAGGGAGCTTTAAGGTACAAGTTAACAAAAGAAGGTAATGCACACGTCCAAGTGATTCTGTTTATTGTTGTTGCCAATGGTGGGCACAGTTCCCCTAAAGCACTAAAGCACTAATAGGGGAACTATGGTAACTTCCTGATTAGTGCTTTAGGGCTTTTGCTATTTTTTTAAAATTCATTCAAATTTATGGGCTAAATTTAGAAGCACTAACTGAGGTCTACAAATGTTATTGATCAACATTATTGTCTACAGTTGAGGGTGAAAGCTGTCATGCATTTTGTTCAAATGCGTGTCACTTATYTACAAGGTCACATGTGTCAAACTCAAGGCCCGCGGGCCAAATGTGGCCTGCAGGTGACTCCCATTTGGCCCGCCAAGGGCACTAAGTGACAATGATCTGCACACAGTAAATATTGTCTATTGTTGACAGAAGAATGTTTCATGTGTCAACTGGATTATATTAGTGCTTATATTATATTAGGGGACCTAAATATTTGAGTTAGTGCTTTAGGGTTAGTGCAACTAATATTTAGATTAGTGCTGCCCACTACTGTTTGTTACTACAACGTGGCTCATTTTAGTTAATATGAATGAAGTTTGTTGCAAACCAAAGCTTGAGTGTACAAATTATGTGTTAAAAACTCCAGGACTTCCATGTTCCTTTTTGAGAAATTAGTATCAATAAGAAGCAATTAGTTTTGCTCGAGGTTACAATAATGGCCCAATATGAGTAGCAACAAATGAACCAGAATCTCTTTTTAACAAGAAGATTATCTTGCTGTTTTCCATCAAAATGACAAAACTTGGCAAATGTCCCACATAGCAGATAGGTGTGGGCCAGATCTGGTATCAAGCTGCTACTGCTGGCACGGCAAGTGGTTAGTCAACCAGATGTGGGCCAAGTCTGGCAGTGGTGGCTGTTTTTAAAATGGCATGTCACAAATGGCCAGGTTGTGGTTTGATTTATGTGGTGCTGGCCCATGTATGGACCACCTCTGGCAAACCACATCTAATTAACTATAATTCTTTGTGGCATCTGGGCCCAGTGTTATTTGTGGACCAGACAAATGTTGCTATCTGGAGTACCCTACCTTTTCTGCAACATAACAAAGATCAAAAATGTGTTTGATGTTGTGCAGTTATTTTGCAGGTGATGATTAGGCTTCCTTCACAGATGATAATCTTGCTACTCACTAAGGTCAACAGTCCACAGGTCCAGGTGAGTGTTATAAATGGAGTATGGAAGGACCATAATGGTTTTCTTTCATTTGGTCATGGTGGTTTACCTCATGGCAGAAACATACTGAAGGTTCTGGTAAGAATGTGTGATGGTGCACTGTATCCATGTTGGGGCTCATGTGCATCAGCGTGCAATGGTTGTTGAGAATATAAAGCAAGATTGACTTTGCTGGCCTCATGCCTAAGCTACGAACCACCCACACTTCGCTGTAGCATCATGCTAGTTTAACCTTTTAGTGCAGAGAATTGTGTCAGGACCAGGGCATGGTATCAACGAAGCTGTACACAGTACATTCTTTGTTGGAGCACACTACGTTGTATAGAGCTGGATGAGAGTGTCAGCTTGGGACACACAAAATAACAGAGAAAAACCTATGTGGTTTGTACCAAGAGAATAGCAGCACAATAATTGCCTTCCCATTCAAAGAGATTATACAAATTTTTTCCAATCCAGCCATGCTAATGGTTCATGTAGCTAGTAGAGAGCTTATCAGGATAGTCATTAAGTGTGAAGATGGCTTAGACTAGCCTTGGATAACAGTAGAAACCAGTGAATGGTGGCTGTGGCAGAGTGGTTAGGGGAGTCATCCTGGAACTGGAAGGCCACTGGTTCGATCCCTTATTCCAGCTGTCTCAGTCGTTGTGTCCTTGGGCAAGACACTTCACCCACTTGCCAACTGGTGGTGGTCAGAGACTCCGGTGGCATTGGTGCAAAGCAGCCCTGCCTCTGTCAGTGTGCCCCAGGGCAGCTATGGCTGTAGCTTGCCACCATCAGTGTGCAAATGTGTGTGTGAATGGGAGAATGCCTGAAGGGTAAAGCGCCTTGGGATCCAAATGGATTTGATAGGGTGCTACTGTATATAAGTTCAAGACATTTACCATTTACCATGAAGTAGACAAGTGTCCTCCCACAGACCAAACACATGCATGTTAATTATTAACTCTGAACTGTACCTAGGTGGGAGTCAGAGTGTGAATGGTTGAGTCTTTTTGTCTCTGTGTGGCACTGTGATGGACTTACACCTGTCCAATGTTTGCCCAACTTCTTGCACAGTGACCGATGGACATATGACACCAGCTGGCTGTGACCCAGATGGGAAAACAGGGTGAAGAAGATGGAATGGATGGATGGATGGATGGATGGATGGATGGATGGATGGATGGATGGATGGATGGATGGATGGATGGATGGATGGATGGATGGATGGTAAAAGTCATAGTGAAAATGTAATTGTTGCTCCTTGAAGAAGACTGGATGGAGCATTAAGTAACATAGAAAATTACACAAAAGTGATCAAATAGCTAAAGTTTTCTCTCAACATCCTATTAAACTGTCATAACAAAGAAGCCAACAATCTGATTTGAAGACAACAAAACATCTGCACTGTGTTAAAACAGAAGTGGATGAGAGCGCCAGAAAATAGTGACATAGACAAAACAGAAAGCAAACTTTCAGCTGCAAATCAAACACATTTTTAGTATATTTATTAACCGGTAGGTTACTAAATCCATGAGAAAAAAACAATCAAACGTGGTGATATTAATTTTAAAAATGCAATAAAATTCTTCATTTGTTTAACATGACAGTAGCAGTTTACATTTGTGCTTTGTTAAAAGTGACAAAACACCAGCGGGTCAGTTCACACCCACACCTTGTCTAAAAAGTGTCAACAGTGGGAATAAAGTGCTGTTTTGTAAATAATTATAATGCAAAGGAATGAAGTGAACCTAATCACTTGTGTGTGAGACAGAATGTGTGGGAATTGCATTATGGGCTCAGGAAGAGATGTAAGCCAGGGAGCAGTCAGAGCAAAGGAACTGACCATTCAGCAAGTTGATGTACGTGAAATGATTTCTTCTAATCGAAACTCTTAATGTTTGGCAGGATGTCTGTCGATGAGTTAATGTGCCTCACTGGCTCTCATCAAGATGCAATTAATTACAACGAGGAAAAGAGTAATCTAATTCCGATGTAATTTCTTCTTGATTACTCATTTGATGGCCGATGACCGAGGGACGAGCGGTGGCAAGACGGCCGTGGAGTTGGACAAGAAAAACGCTGATGAGAGGAAACAGATAACTTAGGACTGCAAATTAAAACTTCCTAAATGAAGTGTTTCCTGCACAACAGAAGTTGCCAAACAGTATCATAAAGTATGTTTAATGAAAGCTGCAATCCCAGAAGGATTGCTTAATGCCTGCTGCTGTGTATGCTGGTGCTTTAAAACTATGTGCAACCTGTTAGCGCTCAGAGTAGGTGCTTGACAGGTTGCATGCTGGGAAGATGGCCGCATGAGTGCCTTTGTCTGTTCGGTACTCTCGTTAATCTCAAAATAACTTCTGATCTAAGAGACTAAGTTGGTTAAAACGTTGGTCAGTGCTTGACCAAAGTCTTTGCTCTGTATAGAAGAAAAAGTGGTGATTTTCGGCCTATATAATGGCTGATAATACGCGTCAGCGTAAGCCGAAGGACGCCGACGGTGATTTGGTGACTGAGCTGCGCGCACTAAGTGCAAAATTTGACCGTATGCAGACTTCGGTGGAGGAGCAAATGAATGCAAAGATTGATAGCCTGCGTGGAAGTTTGGAGAGGACCATCTCAGAGAGCCAAGCCGCCCTGAAAAGTGAGTGGGAAAAAACTGCTACTGAGTTACGCCTGAACCTGGACATGGAAGTGGGCATCTTGGTCTCCAGAATGGAGAAGATAGAGCTGAAAATGGCAGAAAATGAAACGCGGGGGAAGTCCTTTGACCCAGACGTTTCATTAATTGTTGCTGGATTACCGCAAGCGGATGGGGATGAAGACGTAGTGACCAAGGTGAAGGACCTGTTACGCGAGGGGCTGCGCTGTGAACCCGTGCCCGAGGTGGTGGCTGCGGAGCGCGTGAGGGCGAGAGGACAACACCCGGGGCTTGTCAAAGTGGAGCTGAAGTCGGTATAAGAC